ATCAATGATTAGCTTCCTGAGCACGTCGATATGAGCTGATCATTGATGTCCCATTCACAATCGACCGCGCAGCTTAAGAGGCCGTCATGCCCCGCCCGCTCTATCCCTGGGAATTGACTATACTTAGATGGCCTGTCTTCACTCGGCCCCAGCACTGTTTCCATCCGTTTCTGTCTCTCGCTAACGTCATCCACGATGTTGGTATTGAAGTGCGGCGGCGACGTTCGCGAGGTCCAAGTCCATCACTCGTTACCAGCTGAGAATTAGCTGGTCCATCCGTGCAACGAACACGTCAGCCCATCTGGTCGGTGGCCTTCCACGAAGGCGTTTTGCTTCGTGAGGGATACATTCCAGAGTTCTTAGTTTCCATCTGTTGTCTGTCCTTCTCATTATATGACCAGCCCATCAATGCTTTGTCTTAGAGACGTATTCCGATGGATCGCAAAGACGAGACATTGATCTCATATCTGAACTGCGAAGTCCGACGTGATGTTGAGTACGTCGGTTGTACTTCAAAAGACGTCTTTCCAGCGCTCTGTGGGTTGTTCAGAGTGCCTTCGACGTAGCCACAGTGTCAGGCCACATCTCTGTTGCGTAGCAGAGCGCAGGTAGAACGGTTGTATCGAACAGGTGAGCTTAGAGCTCTGGGTCCCTTGTTGGTCTGTGGCTTTTTAGGGGTCAGAAGCTGGTCCAGACTGCTTCTGACCGCCTCCTACTTAATTCCTCTTTCGGACTGTTCTCCATGTTTAAACATCCGAGATGTAAAAAGACATCTCCGCGATTGGACAGCCCTCTAATTCCATTTCCTGATCCTCGCAAAAAGCGTCTTTCATAAACTGATTCTTCTGTCGGTTAATTCGCACTCCTTCCCTTTCTTTACTTCGTTTAGTTTTCATTATCGTCTCCACCTCAGTCATATTCATCGAGAAGAGAACAATGTCGTCCGCAAAACGGAGATTTGAGAGGAATTTTCCATCAATCCTCTCTCGTTCTAATCCAGTGATTTCATCAGCCTGCAAGGCGGCGATAAACAGCTTTGGTAAAGCTTTGTCTGCTAACAGAGAAAGCAGTGCAACTGGGCGTGAGAACATAGCAATAGCGAACTAAATGCCTTTCAAATTTGTTCGCCATATCTTTAGAAGCAAAACTTAACTT